AGCCACTCCTTGGAAGGAAGATGGGGCAATCCACTTCCGTAGCGATGCTGTCTCAGAAACCCAACGAGCCATCGCTATGAGTTGGGGCCGACTCGACGGCACATAACAACAACAACAACAATATGGTTAAGAGGATGTGTACAACTGCCAAGTTGACAAAGGGTGGACTGTGATAGTTGGAGCTGTGTGTCAACTTGGCTGGACTACAATTCTGTGTGGTTTAAGCAATTGTGATGTGGATTATTCCCATGATGGGATCAGATGTATAAGTTTTGAGCAGCCAGTCTGTTGAAAGGAAGTTTCCCTAGGGGTGTGACCTGCTTCTAATATATTTATGGACATCCTGGAAGAAGAGACATTCTTCTGTGGATCAGGATCCTGTTGTGCTGCCTACAACTGTCTGTGAGCGAATCATCCACCATTCGTCCTGGAGATCTTGGATTTGTCATTCATTAGAGTCAACAGCTGATATACTGCCTGCCAACCTAGAGCTCGTCAGCCCCTGCAGCTGCATGAGTTGGAAAAAGCCTTCAGCTTGATGTTTGATCCAAGAACTTGGGACTTGCCAGCTTCTATAAGTGTGTGAGCCATTTTCCTAAGATAAATTTCTCTTTCTCTCTCTCTATAAGCTTTACTGGTTTTGCTTCTCTAGAGAACCCAGTCTAACACATTCTACATCCTACTTTGGTGAATAGTGACTGGCATCTTAAAAGCTTTCGAACAACTATCTTAAGGTGCAACTATTGGTCTTAGTGAAGAAAATCAAAGTCATTTGGAAATAATTTGTCCAAACATATGATGGACTATGAGGACCTCAGCCTTCATGACCCTAAGACTAAAAGAACTAGATAGTGCCCAGGTACTAATGCCAACTACTCAGAAAAGTATCAAAATTGGAGATCCTGAATAGCATGGAAGGAAAAATGTGGAACAGAATTCAAAAACACAAAAATGACCAGAATTACTCTTTGGATAGAGACTGGTGGAACCCCTGAAACTGTGGCCTCAGGTTATCCTTTGGGCCTGGAAATAGGCTCACTTCCATGGATTGGCTCTCTCAGCCCAACAGAAGAAAGACGTACAAGCAGAACACCTGCCCCAAGGAGATGCACCCACCTACTGTAGGGAGATGTACCCTTTAGATCAGTTAGCCATGAGACATCAGAGGGGCAGCATTCACATAGAGGGAAAGCTGGACAGACAGGAGTGCATATATAAGAAGGGCAGAGGGAGTGGGTAGTCACAGGGAAGAGAGTGGAGGAGAGCTTTTATGGTTGGGGATGGTAATCGGGGCAGTGAGATCAAATGTGCATGAACTGTTAAGAGTAAAACAAATCTGCTTTGTAAATTTGTACCCAAATCACAATAAAATTAAAAAAAAAAAAAAAAAAGAGTTTCGGTCTTGGAAACCCTGTGGGCTTGCTATATGGTCGTGAGTTTGGGTTTTTTTGGTAAGCCTTGAGTCAGGCACTTCACATGGCTGAGCTCATTTCTTCTTTACGACAACCTCTAAGATAGAGGTAGTGTTTTGTTTTGTTTTATTTATTTATTTATTTATTTTGATTTGAGTGAAAGTATATGGAGCAAATTTGTTCTCAATTCAGCAGTTCATACACATTTTGTTTCATGACATTGACTGCAATCCCCGTAATATAACAGCTCTTTTCCAATCCTCCCTTTGGTTACCTTTTCCCTGTGTCCTTCTTTCCTGTGCACTCCTGCCCTCTGAGCTATCTCTGTGTGCAAATGCTGCCCTTCTGATCTCCTGTGGTTGATTGTTCTAAGGTTGATTGTACTTATGTGGTACAATGTTCACCTTGTAGCCCTGTCTTTTGTTTGGCAGGAAGCCTACCCATGGGAGTGATTCCAATTGGTGCCACTTATCTGTCACTATGAGTCACTGTCTGTCACTAGTGGCTCTTACCTGTCACTGTTGACACAACAACATGATGCTGAACAAGTTTCAGCAGAATGTCCAGAGACCAAGACAGACTAAGAAGAAAGTTCTGGCAACCTGTATCCGAAAATCGGCCAGTGAAAACTCTGGATCACAGTGGTCTGATCTGCAGTTCTTCATGGGAACGGTGCAGGACTGGGCAGCGTTGTGTTCCGTTGTGCATGAGGTGCCATGAGTCAACAGACTTGATGGCAAGTAACAGCAACAGTTTTTGTTTTTTAAAAGAGTGTCCACCCAAATAAAGCATGTCTGCCCTGGATATAGCTTTTGGACCAGCAGACTGATGAGGGAATTAGGCCCCAGCCCAGCACAAGCTGCTGCAAATGATCCAGTCTCATCCCGGCCGACTTCCCAGGGCTGGAGTGCACATGGACCATCCCCTGAATTGGAAAAGAAGTCATATCTAGAACTAGGGAAGAGTGGGGAGCTGAGCAAACACAGCCAGCCTTGGCTGCCTGCTATCAGTGTTGATACGCTGGATGGGAACTTCCTTGTTGTTGTTGTTGTTGTTATGTGCTGACCCCTCCTTGGGTTTCCGATTGCCCAACCTTCCTTCCGAGGAGTGGCTGGTGGGTTTGAACCTCCAGCCCTATGGTTAGCAGTCAAGTGCTTTAGCCACTATGCTACCAGAGCTCCTGGGAACTTCCTTAGAGGCACTTTAAAAATAAATGGTAGGACCAGGTCAAAGACTTCTCTCCATAACCTTGTTTCTTCACTAATGCAGGTGTATCTGCAGGGAATGTCTTCTCAGCCCATACGGTGGCACGTGCATGGTTTTTGGGTTTTTGAAGCAGGTTAGCTGGATGGTTCTGATACCATTTGCTTTGCTGTGTTTTGCAGCCATCAGTTTCACTCCACCAATCACTGCCAACCATTTACCCAAGTTTCCATTACTACTCGTTTAAAAATAAAAAGCATTGCTCATTTTAGAAAACTGTCTGTCAAAGATGCTTAAAATAAAAACCATCTTAGCACTTAAAAAAGAATAAGTGCCATTTATCTTGAAAGTCACTTGGGTGAGGATTTCTCAATGTTGTTGGGTCCATGAATTGTTGCTGTATTTGCAAGAAAGACACTGCAGGTGTCTGTGGCATGTGGCCCTTGGTGAGTAGACATTTTTTAAGTTTATTTAACTTATTTTACAAGTATTTGTTGAGTACCTTCTCTATGCGGGGTGACGATCTAGGCCTGGGAAACATAGCACAAACCAAATACATTTGATCCCTGCCTTCACAGACCTGAGCGTCTAGGAGGGCTCACCAAGCAGGCCACTCAAGTTCAGCAGGAACAGAGGACCGTACAGAGTGCAGAAAGAAGTGTGTGCAGGCGGGGCCAGCATCATTGCTGGAGAGGAATGGCTACAGATGCATGTGCTCTCCATCTGCCCTCTCACTGGCCTTAGGAAGCATGTGTTGTTATAATCTCTGTTTTATCCAGGAGAAAAAATGAGGCTTAGAGAGATTCTGTAAGGAGCCAAAGATTACCCTGCTTAAGCTGGGGACCCAGACCCAAGCCCTTATTGCCTGCTTTGTGGTTTAGCTTCTCTGGCTGAATGTATGGATGTGTAGCTGGAGTAACATCTGGAATCATTTGCATCTCACCATGTGGGGCCTGGACCTGTGCTTCTACTTTCTACCTCATGGTTTACGTAATAGGTCTGTTGGAGCTCTGGTGGCACTGTGGTTGAAAGCATTGGGCTGCTAACCAAAGGTCGGTGGTTCAAACCCACCAGTTGCTCCACAGGAGAAAGATGAAGCAGTCTGCTTCTTCAAAGACTTACAGCCTTGGAAACCTTATGGGGGCAGTTCTACTCTGACTGTAGGGTCACTATGAGTCAGAATCAACTAAAGGGCAGTGGGCTTGGTTTTTTGGTTTACTTAGGTCTGTTAGCACATCACATAGTGTCCTGGTGAAACACTGGAAGTCTACAGAGTCTGTATTTGCTCTTATTCTTAAGAGTTAATGATTTTATCCGGAGTTTTTTGTTTTGTTTTTAACCACAATATTTGTAATGCTAAGAATCCCCAATGAGGATAATCAAATAAACTGTTAGTTTGAAACAGCTATCAGATTAGTTATAATCTGTTTGTCATCAATTTGCTGATTGATGACAAGCACAGGCGATTCATGGTATCATCAAATTTCAGAACTACAAGAGATCTTAGAGCAGTCCATTTGTTTTCAGATGGACATTGAAACCCAAAGAGGTTAAGTAGCTGGATCAGGATCATGGGACAATGCTGGAACCTAACCCCTGTGCTCTCTTCTTCTGATCCCCTGCTGCCTCCAGTGGACTTGGTGCTGTCTTACCACTGGCTTTGCTGATAAAGTCACTGCTGCAGAGTTATGAGAATGGGCATGCCCTGCTGAGGTTCTGAAAATAGACTTAACCTCTTTAGAGAGCTGGCTGGAGGACCACTCTTTGAGTGGCAAAAGCTCCTGAGATAGCTAATATTAGGAAATTTGAGTCCCAAGGAAGAGATCATCAGAAATGACCAGATTCCTGATAATAAAGCCTATGTGACTATAAGTTATGAGACAGAATGAGAATTAAAAGAAGCAGAAGGAGACCAATTACACGGTTGGGAAAATGGTTCCTGAAATAAAACATGGACAGTGGGAAGTGATCCTTTGCATTCATGCGGTGTTTTCCGTGGTGATGTGCCTTGTAAACATCTCCACGATCTGCTGGCTCCCTCTTTGCCTCTCCAGATCTACCTCTGCCCCCAGCATCCTCCCCACATCTAACCTGTCTCCAACCTGCCCGAGTTTGCAGTTGCTAGAATATTGCACGCTCCGCTTGCCTCCACACCTGTGTTCCCTGCATCCTTTCTGCCTACAATATAATAAATACCTTTCCCTCTCCCTGCCCACAACTCTGCTAACTAACTTTTGTTACTTTAGATTTTAGTTGAGGTGTCCTTTCCTCCAGAAGATGTTCACAAGCGGATTTGTTTTCATATAAAGTGTGCACTTATCTTACTTGTTTCCTCTGTGCTGGTTTGGAGTGGCCCCTAAATCCATCAATGTCCTTTGTTCCCAGGTGACAGACCATGCCACTACTGCCCTGCTCCACTATCAGCTGCCCCAGATGCCAGATGTCGTGGTCAGATCCTTCATGGTAAGTAGCTTTAAAAACCAGCCACATCTCTCATTTAAACCTTGGCTCCCTTATCATGAGAATCAGCAGCTGGAGATCATTGCATCTTCAAATTGTGTGGGCCTCCCATTGGAAGCTGGGGCTCCCAGTTTAGAACTGATACTTTTTTAAAACTGGTAAGGGGAATGATCTCCAGGAAAAACCACTTCTAGCATAACTAACTGGTGCTTCCTGTCACTTCTGAGTAAGGGTCAGTTTCTGAAGTGATTTTCCAAAAAATCTAGTCAATAGGTATTTACTAAGCTTCTGATCTTTGCCAGGCTGTGTGCTTGGCACTGAGCATGTAGCAGTGAATAAGGAAAATCTTGGAGTTCCCCAAGACATTTAATCCTTAGATTTTCTGAGTGGGAGTTCAGGAATGAGAGTGACCCCAAAACAGCCATTCCAGTGGTGTGCTGGAGTGGGCTACCAACTGGCCTGAGTGGGACTAACAGCTGGTTCCACCTCATCCTTGACGGAATTGGCCAACTGTTTTAATACCATACCACCATGGCTTCCTCCTCACCTGTCAGTAGGCTCTGTCTTTCACTGCTCTAAACTCCCTTTTTCTTCATACTAGAACCTACTCCAAGGACTTAACCTATTCCCAGGGCCAAATCAGGTTGACAGCTAGGGTGGGACTTTGCTCATCTGATACATTCTATCATGTGTGCATCAACAGTTGAGATTCTTAAAGAACCTGTTATTTAGTTCTTGAAAGACATAAATGCAGCTTATTAATCGGCTTAATGGTTTTGGGGAAGTTGAATAAAGCAAATCCAGTTGCTCAACAGAATTGTCCATGTATTGGTTCTTTCATGTGTGAAGAGAACAATTCAATTATGGTCTAACATGAAATCTGCATTTTTGGATACATATAAAATTTGTAAACATAACAAATTTTAATGCCTGGTTTCCCTCTCATAGCAGACTTTGGGATTTGGGGAGGATTTGACTCTGATCAGCACTAAAGGATAGAGTTTAATTGAATGATCCATTGACCTTATATTATTTATTGCCAAAACTCCACAAAAGCCTAGCTCTTTGGAAGAGGACAGTATTGACGGTGTGAGCTGTGCCACTATGAAGGCAGCTGTGATGAAGATGGAAGGATTTTTATCAATAAACTCAGCCGTCCTCTTCAGAGAACAGTTTTCTCTTACAGACATAATTCAGGAGGACATTAAATGACAGGATTCACCATGCCCCCTTCACAGGGAGAACTTGCTGGTCTGCTGTTATAGATTATTGGAAGGTTGGATTTTTTGTTTTTGGTAGTGAATCTCCTTGGATTTGAGAATTGAGTTATGTGAGTCTCATCCTTATGTATGATGCCCACAAGAACTCTGCACTCTGAACTATGCCAGTGTGTATTTGCTGTTTATTGTGTTATCTGGAGACACCAGGGTTGTCCCCACCCTCCCAACTCCCCTAAGTGTGTTGGGCCACATTGTGACAGTGAGTGATGACCTCTGAAATCAGATTAGAAAGAAGATATGTTGACCTCACTGGAGGATTCTCAAACCGTCATCTATTAGAAGTCTTCCGTAGAGTATATGTCCATGACCACGACCGCGTCTTGGTAGCGAACAAGGAGAAGAAAATCAATACTAATATTCAGGAGACACGAGACACAGAAAATGAAATGTGGTTATGTTTGCCCCCAGAGCCATAGGCTGTGTGCTGGTTCACGGTGACTCCTTAGGGAGTACTGCCTGCTTTGGAGAGTATGAATTTCTATTTTAAAAACTCCCTCAGCTAGGAGGGCACCAGGGGAACATCAGAACTGAAAGTCAGCAGTGTTATGACCTTGTGGATTCTGCATGCTCCTTTCAGTAAAATCACAGGATATCATTTGGGGTCAAAGCCAACTTAAGTTGGGGCCATGGGGATCATTAGACTTGACAGGAAGGATGACATTGGAAGTACCCAGATCCCATTTCTTTCTTTTTTCTCCTCACTTCTCTTTTTAGACCTGGTTAAGAAGTTACATAAAGCTGTTCCAGGCCCCATGCCAGCGCTGCGGGAAGTTTCTGCAAGATGGCCTTCCCCCCACGTGGAGGGATTTCCGAACCCTCGAAGCCTTCCATGACACTTGCCGGCAGTAACCCTGCCCTATCCCCACTTCTGTCCCAGGCTGGCATACAAACTCCCATCCAGCACCTTCCCAGACAAGCCTGAAGTAATACTGATGGCTCCGAGGGCTCTTCACTGTTCAGATATCAGTACAGCCGTTCCCTTTCTTTCGTGAAATGGTATATTGTATATTGTATATTAAGCCTCTTGAAAAACAGATTCCATCTCTGTGGTTGATGAGAATCATACATGTTAGCCAGTGTGAAGAAGACAAGGTAGGCCTTTGTGGAGCACTGTATGGGGAAGTTATGCAGCATGGTCTTTGGCAAGTCGGACCTTCTGGATCCCTGTGTTAAGCCATTTTTCTTAAGTCATTTTCGTGAGTTGCTATCATATGAATGAGCACTCTGTTCACATACTTTGTTCTGCTGGGTAACTTATTTTTGTAAATAATAAACTTTTTGTACCTAAAACAAGGCTGTATTTCTTATAACACCTTTTACAGGCAGTTCAGTGAACATATGAATAGAACTTGACCTTTTGAAGAAAAATTACTCAATAATATCTACATTTAAAACATAGTTTTGTTGGAGGATATGTTTCCCTGCTTCTTGCTTTCAGGGGAGAGGGCCATGGTGGCACATACTCAATTTCAGAGATGTTTTTGCAGCTTGAGAAATGGATTAGTCTTTTTGAGGGAAAAAAAAGAAAAAGGACACAGATGTTTCTTTCTGCTAAATCTGTGAAACACACCAAAAAGAAAGGAATCTGTCCACATTCTCCAGCTAGAAAGCGTGTGAGCCAGACTGAAGTGTGTCTGACTTGTTTGCCCAGGGCTTTGTCCTGAGTGTTACTGTGAAATGGATTGCATCCCTATCTGCATAATTCATTCAGTGCCTCCACACCACCACTCAAAGCTGTGTCTTTTTATTGTACAAATCGTTGATCTGGTAAAGATCTAAAGAACAATGGAGGCTTCCCGGGGCTTCCCTGGTGCAGCCTATACAGTGGATAATGTTCTGTTTGCAGTGAGTGATGTCAAGAGAGATGCTGCCTTCTAATATGTCCAGAGGACGAGGTGGTTCCTGGCTGGATTCTGTACGGCCCATCCGCATCTCACCTACCCCACCAGGCTGAAAGGAGCCAGAGTCTGAGGGGATTTAGTGATGGGTAAACGATCCCGGAAGGAGCTCCGGTGGTGTAGTGCCTAAGGCTGGCGGTTCAAACCCACCAGCCACTCCTCAGAAGGAAGATGGGGGCAGTCTACTTCTATAAAGATTCACCACCTTGGAAACCCAGTGGGAGGTCACTATGAGTAGCTATGGCAGTGGGTTTGGTTTTTTTTAAAAAAACAATCCCTGAGTAGCACAAATAATGTGCACTCAACTCCTAACCTGAAGATTGACAGTTCAAACTGCCAATAGCTCTGTGAAAGAAAGGCCTGGCAAGCTGCTTCTATAAAGATAATAGCCAAGAAAATCTCGTGGAACAGTTCTACTCTGTAACACGTGGGGTCACCACAAGTTGGAATCAACTCAGTGGAAATAGTTTTTTTTTTTTCCCTTTTTCAACTATAGGATATTGTTGTTGTTAGCTCTTATCAAGTCAGCCTCTGATAGTGCAACTCAAAATACCGTCCTTAGCCCAGCAGCCTCAGGATCATGGAAGCTTGTTCGAAATACAAGTCCTCAGCCATACAGAAGACATGCCAAACCCAATATTCTGGGAGTGGGTATCCCGCAGCCCATTTTTTTAACAGTGCACCTCTGTGACACTGATGCACATTCAAGTTTGAGAACCACTGCTAGTGGAGAACTGGCAATGCTTTCAATGCCCAGTTTGGGAAAGTGTGATGAGAGATAGCGTGATCCAGTACTAGAGCTTTTACATACAGGCGGTAATTTTAGATTAAATACCATAGTTCATCAAATCTAAAATGTCATTGCCTGTAAGATGCACCATTGTTTTATCAACCTCTAAGAAAGGAAAAATCACTGCCAATTAAACTGTGGCACAGGCCTTAATGATAATCCTGCACAACACCTCAGTCAGCCTCACCAGCCTTTCAGTACTTCAAAATGTCTTTCATCTCTTGCAGTTTCACCTGCCATGACTTATCGTTCGGCTTGTAACAAGCGATCTTTTACACAGCTCTCACTAACAAAACACAGCTTCACTACCTTGTGAGCGTCTTCCTTTCTTTGGTCTTGTAAGATAGTTTGTTGTTTTGCAAGAAAATAGAAAATTGAGGACATTCTTTGCTGATAACAGATTTATGTCTTGTTGCTCTGCCTGTCCTCTTCTGGGTATGTAATAACTTGTTTCCGCACTGTAGATAGTGCCAACCTTTTGAAGACATTGAAATGGCAAGTAGACTGACCCTGGGCAGTACTGATGGTGCACATAGCTCATGTGAAGTGACGACAATGTGAACAGCTCTGACCAAGTTGGAGCATGTACAGACAATGGCAAGTACATCGTGACTGCCAGCTGGCTGACAGCACACATCGGAGATGTTAAAATGTGGGAAATATCCATCTGAGAATCAATGAAATTACACTAACATTAAATCATGTTGTGAGAAAGCTGTTTGGATTTGTAACTGTCTTAATCCTCCAGGTTGGAGCGAATCTGAGAAAGTCTCCATTGCGACTAAAGGTCGCTCTAACCAGTTGCTGTCAAGTCAGTTCTGCCTCACAGAGACCCATGTGTGGCAGAGGACAGCTGTGCTCCGTGGGGTTTTCTGTGGCTGTTGATTTTTGTTTTTTTTTCTTTTTTTTGGAGTAGATCTCCAGACCTTCCAAGGATTCTGTGGGTGGACTCCAACTTCCAGTTTTTTTTGTAAGCAGCAAAAAAAGACTATTCGTACCACGAAGGGACTCCAGGGGTCTCTAACCTCCTGCCAGCCTTTTTTTTAATAGAGAACAGCCCTTGCATTTTAAGCCTTGAGCAGATAATTTCTACATTTAAAGACATTGTCTTCTGTTTCTCAGTTATCTTTAGAGATACCTTCTATTTATAGAAAATGGTACCTGTAATAGAATGTTTCCATTTTAAATCAATCCATTAAATAAGTTTCCATTTTTAAATGAATTTAGGTGAAAAGGTGAGACTACCAGAAATATTAAATAACAGCCATAGCAATAGGCAGTATAGTTTTTGCAGGAAGCATGTGGGTAGCAGGCAGATCGTTGGTAGCAGACACACACACAGCAGGAGCCTGTGCTCTGCTCACCAGCTGTGGGAATATGGACAAGTTCTTCCTCTCCATGCCTATTTCCTCTTCTGCAAAATGCTAGGCTGAGAATCCAGTGATGGGGACGGCATGGTTCGGGGAGCATGTGGGTTTATAGAGAGAGAAGACTGGCCATGAGTTGATCATGATTGAGCCTGGGAGGTAGAGACATGGGTGTAGCATGCTGTTTTGTTTTTCTGTTTTCTATCTTCTTATAATGAGAAAGGGGAAAAAAATACGAGGGAGTTCGACCAGTTCACTTTTAAGGCCTTTCCATCTCTGAGACTGATTCTTCCATCCTGAGAGGCAGAAGCTGAAAAGGAATATCACTCAAGTCTGGAAATGGAAAGGTGAGAGGGACGAGGAGGAGGATGGCTTGTTTACCAAATCTCAGAATGCTTGATGCTTTAAAGAGAGAAACGTGAGGGACACTAGCTAAGACTTGGGGTGAATTTGGATCAGCTCTAAGATGGTGGCTACATACAGAGGATGCTGGAAGACCTGCTGCTGCTATGAGGACAGTCACCAGGTCCTGGAACCATCCTTTGGCTATGGTAGCGTGGTGCCTAAGGCATTTGACTGCTAACCAGAAGGCTGGTGGTTCAAACCCACCAGCCACTCCTCGGAATGAAAGTTGGGCAACCTACTTCTTTAGTGATACCACCTCAGAAACCCAAGGAGGGGTTGCTATGAGTTGGATTCAACTCGACAGCAGTGAGTTTTTAGTTTAGCAAAATGGAATGCAGCTATCAAGAAGGTCAGGTGTTATTTGACCTGTAGAAAGGTGCTTTCTAAGCCAGACCTACAAGGTATTTTATATGGGTTAATTATTACTAATATGGAGTAATGGCACTGTGCCATGTAATTTACATATGTTTAATCACAGGTGTAAACGTGGAGATTTTCCTGTTCCATACATGAGGAAACAGGTAGAGGGTCTCACACAGAAACGGGCTGGAATTCAAGCTGGCAGCATAGTCGGGCTTTGTGGCTATTTAGCAATGACACTTCCTACCCCATAGTCAAAGGGACCTATTGCTTGTGCTCTGCAGACGTGTTGCACCTAGTATTGCTCAACAAGTACACTCTCAAACGGAACGTGGGGATCTCTCGGTCTCTCAGAGGCTTCTCTTCACAATAGGTAATGGTGCCTTTACCCCATACTTTCTGCATGCCAGGCTACTGTTAATCAACAGGCAACCGTTGTAGCAGGAACTGACAAAATGGAACAAGGAGGTCTATGATGAAAGGCAGTCCAGATTTTTTTCTTCCTGAACTAAATTGGGAGTTGGCCTTTTGGTATCGAGTGATGTTTTCACACTTCACCCCACTGACAGAAAGCTGCAGGCATGAAATGATGATCTTTTGGTGTTAATGTACGAATTCTCCGTTGCACTTAGAGTGTCAGGATGTGGGCCATCATGCTAAATCAAGAGCCTGTTAAGGTCACCCAAGTTGGGAGGAGAAGGAACAACAGCTTCATCCACCAGGATTCTCACAAGATCGGGGACTGCCGCAAACTTGACAGGCGGCGTCTCATTTGGGCCAGGAGGTCTGCAGACTAGAGGACAGAAGGCAAACGACTCACCTTTCTTGTCCGTGCCTTTTAGCTTTGGCATCCCCGCTGGCATGCTGAAGATGATCTCCGTGAGCATTGATTGTCCTGCATTTGACAGGAAAGGGTGGGCCCACATCATTCCACCTGCTCCCTCGCTGGTGCAACTGGCCGGCCAGCCACGGTTCTGCATGCACAGCTCATCCCAGGCTGCACAACCGACAGGCGCATGGGCTGAGCTC